GCCTTCTGGACTTTTGAACAGTTTAAAGCATATCAAGAATGTTACTTCTTATTGAACAGGAATTTATTCTATCTTAATTCCATCCTGTTATTCAATAAAATCTTTCCGTTACAGAACTGGCATGAGTGAGAGATACACTTACATAGAGATATACAAACTCAAAATAATCCATTATTCCCAATGCCACAAGATGTGACCTACTGATTTTCATCTGTAACCTTTGTTTTTTCTTGTTATATCCAGCTGCTTGTATTTAGAAGTTTAGTCTGTATGAATATAGATATTTAGCTTACCATAGTGGTATTTGTTTACGTGTATCATACTGAAAGACAAGAGGCTACTCTTATATTAATTAATTACTATTTAATTATTAAATAATGATTGATTATACTTTCAGTGTAATAAAATCTCTAGCAAAAGACTGGTAGATCCCATTTCACTACCATAAATTTAATTGGGAAACCTGAAGCTAATCAAAACAAATCATGAAACATGTTGGACAAAGTCCATGAAAAACATGCAAGAAAATTCATTTTAATTAGCAGGATACTGATTTCTGCTGGATTTAAGATGCAGAGCCATGCATGTAAAGAGCGTAACTCAAGTCCAATAAGAAGCAATGAAAGCATGGAGTAGCAAATTAATTTAGTTAGATTTATAACCTCATAATCTTTGCAAATAGTTTATTTCTCTATTGCCATATTTTTTGTATACATGACAAAATCTGAGGGAGTTTTCCTGACACTAAGCCAAATGCTCCCTACATTTTAATAAATGCAATGTAGCTTATTATTGAAAAATTCCATATATTTTCCTCTATCTGATGAAATAGGTTTGCATTAGTTTTTGAAGCAAAATTATAAAGTGTAAATAACTTCTAAAAAGTGCAATTACTATTTATTTTATGATTAAATTAAATTACTTTTTTGTTACATACACAAGTGTTTACTTACAGGTTCTTTGGCACTGCATTTGTAATATAAAGGGCCACTTAGGTAATCTACATTTAAATCCACTTTAAAGCTATTGCTATAAATTAGGTATTATGTCTATCTAATAAATGTGTGTGTATATATGAATCAGACCCCGTGCCTGTGATTCCAGGTTAACTAAGACTTGCTAGTTAATCAGTAGTTGTGATAGTATTTGGAGGCTCAGAAACTCATTCTTTTGGACAAACTTACTCCTTCTGCACGCAGAATCTTTGCACATAAAAGCAGCTGTCAGACCAAGTTTGCAAATTGTCATTAGTGGACAGAGAAGTTGAGATCTCCTATCTGTTTTAAATCTGACACATATCAAGAAAGACCTTATATGGTTCCTTCCTAATTCAAATTATTCTGATTTAGATGTGCAGATATTAGAACTGTAGTAATCAAAAGATAGCTAATGCTTGCTCACTTTTTTATCAGTTAAAAATTAAACCTTGCAAGCTCAATCCTTGAGTCACAGCTAGTTTCATTTTTTTGAAAATGAAATGTTATTCACTGGTTGCATTAAGAGAATTACTATCAACTTGAAATGAAACACCATTTATATCACTGCCTGGAAAATGTGACTCAGTGAGAGGAACCCCTCTTCTGGTTGAAGCACAGAACACCATGCATGGAAGCACTGTACAGCAAACAGGGAGTTATCCCAGGCTTCTCAGTCTTGGGAGAGAAATGGCACTTTTAGGGAGAAATCCATCTCCCTTTAAAGAAGACATCTAACATAAGTCAGTTTGCGTGTCTGCTTATTCACACTGACTACAAGGGCACTCTAAAGAGCCTTGATAAAATCGATGTCTACATCCTAGATGTCTAAAGTAAGTAAGAAAAGTGCCATCTAAGAAGTCTGTTGTTACATAAAAAGCTCCCACCTCCTACTCCCTAATTTGTCTGCAAAGGGAGCACTCAGCATGCTATAGCATACATGGCTGATACCGAAGATCAAGTATGCTGTTGATGTTTATTAGCTTCTTTCAGCACAGGTTCTGAGGGGGATTCATGTGGATATACTGAATAGAACAGACCATGGTTTGATCACCAGCTTCTACATATTTACATTGAAAAACCACTGCAAATTTTAAGGCCACCATGGTTGCTGTTGCTTCTAAGAATTTGGACATTTGATTCCTGCACTGCTTCACTTCCACTTCAATTCCACAGTTTCTTACCTTTTTTGCTAATGCATTTTCTCCCACATTTATGCCTCAGGGTGAATTCTTAAAATAGTAAATGGGAGAGTTTTGCTCTTGCTATTTTAGTCACTTGGCTTTACCAAATCCCTTCTTACCTTTCCCTTGTCATTTTCCCCGTATCTTCTGCAGTAGTTCTCTTCTGCTGCACTTTTGTTTTCTGTGATTGTCCCTTTCCTCAGTTAGAGTCTTCCTAAAGACACTTCTTCCAGGAAGCTTAGCAACATAAACTCTCCATATTAAGTGTCTGTTTCTGATTTAGCATTGACATAGTTTAGTGACACTGTGCCTTCCACTCACCTAGTTTTTTACACTGGTGATCAGTTCTCACTGAAATTGCTAGCTGAGCCATCTGGATGATTTTATGGGGCTCTACCTGTCTGATGTATTGTTCTGGATACTCCATGACACGAACTCTGAGAATAGCATGACCAGGAGGATTTCTCAGCAGGATACATTTCAAACATTCCTCAGAAGAATTCAAAAAGCTTAGTAGCATCTGAAAAGCTTTTTGATCATTCTGTGAAGAGCAAGAAAAGTGTTTGTAATATATCTTCTTTCTTGGCATAGTGCTGCAGTGCAGCATGTTTTACTAGGATTTTGTATGCCCCAAAGAAAGCACCTATGCATACTTCTGCACTTATGCCATGAAATTTGTTGCTATGGAAATATCAAAACCAGTCTATGACTAAGAATGGGCAAACCCATTCAGGCAAAATAGTATCCAGCTTCAATCTCCATTCAACAATCAAAATGAATTGTAGTGATTTTCATGCTTTATAGTGGCTTAATATCTTTCCTGTATCATTAAAGTCTTTTAGCCACTCATACCCAATGGACACAGGCCCCAGCTCACCCAGTTCAATGCACAATTTGGGCACAGTAATTCCAGCAGCATCTCTGAGAAATCAGATTAAAGTAAATTAGGTTAAATTATCCTTACTATTCTTTGCTTTCTCTTGCTTCCTTTAAATTTCTTGGCTCAGAAGCATTTTCTAGGCTAATTGCAGCACTGACTGCACCACCATCCTTCTAAGCATTTAAACTTCAGCTCATTTAGTGTTTCTGACATGTAGAGTGCACTCTGAGGATTAACTGAATGGAAACCTTCAGATCAGGGGGAATTTAAAAAGAGCAACAGCATCTTCCAGCAGTGTGTCTTGGGTTCGCTGTCTGAGCAGCTTCTCCTGCTGGAGAAAAGAAGCTGACCTCAGGCAAACGACTGTGGGAAAGCACGTAAGTTAGGCTTGCTGTGTGTTCATATGCATGCATATCCTCTCTTCTGGGTATCACATTTTCTTTTACTGTCAGGGATTTTACTGTGTTACAGGCTTTCTAAAGTTAGTCCCTTGGAACCAAAGAGCAAGCCCTATTTTCCAGTGTCTCTATCTCAGTTAAGATAACAGAATTCTGGATGACTGCATTGTATGAGACAAATCCCACAGTTAAAAATAGGTGTAACATCTATCAATAACTGAAGTGTCTCATGGAGACTAATTTGAAACCAACGCCCAAAACTACCTCTTAAGGGAATACATTAACAAAGGATTATGGTTACAATTGATCTAAGCATTTATCTGTCTCCCTTTCCTACTTATTTAATTACCATGAATTTAAGCATGATTGCAGAACATTCTTAACTAAGGATGCTTTTCTTTTATAGAATAGATTTAAAGATTTAACCCCCTGTTCCCCAATAAGCCCTACACACAAATGCTCAGATTACATGATCAGTTCCTAGGAGAATAAAATTGTACAGAACTGCCAAGATTGGGTGTTTTGGAGGTAAATATGGATATTGTGTGAGGATAAATGAAAAAAACTAACAATGTTAACACAATCCAGAGCCTAAACACAGAAACTATTGAACATGACAGACACGCTTATCCTCAAAAGAGCTGAAGTACCATTTCTTTCTTGAGATACAAATCTGTTATACAATTAAAAAGACAAGAACTATTTTGAACAGTCTGGAAACATTAAGTTTTTGGTTTAAATGATAAATTGTCAGTTTAGTAAGTGTCTGTATGCTTTCAAGCAGCAAAGCAAATGCTCTTTCACTCTGCCAACACACGATAGAGAATGTAACTACCTGGAAAATTACACAGTGTAAGAACACATAGATTAACATAATGTAAAAAATATGAGGTCAAATAAAGTGAGTTCCCATAAAGATGTCCAAGACCAAGTTTCCATAATAATAATCAAAAGTGCCGCAGGCTAAAATTTTCAAAAGTGTTCACATAACTTACAATGCCTGTTCTGTTTTCAAGTTAGTGTTTCTTTAGAAATAATAGTCTCTTTTACAAAGGAATTATTTTTCTCTTATGCATCTACAAATGTTATAGAAATAGAATTTACTGTCCTAAATCAGAAGAGTCAGTTTTGAAAATTTCTCCTCATTGCCTAGGGGCTTATAGTGTGAAGACTTTGCCTCGGTACAGCTACAGAACTCCATGTCCCAAGTGAAAGATCAGTGCATTCCTCATACCAGTTCTTTCTAGTACATTTCACTGCAAAAAGTTACTAATGAAGGTAATCATGATACACGCTGGTATGTAAGGAAAAAAAAATTTGGGAAAGAACTTAAAACAGTAAGACAGAAATCAGAAAGCTAACATGATACAACACTGAAAGTCACCAATTTGAGTCACCACATGACTCAAATCCTCTTTAATAAAACAGATATAAGCATATGAAACAATATTAGGTTATTATTATAAAATGCAGTTTTCAGTGAAACATTTTTATAAAACAATATTAAGTTTAGAAACGCATGATGGTTTCACAGAGGAATTTTAGTCATATTAATTCTTCTTACCTGTTATAGTTGCTTTGTTAATAGATGGTTGGTTACACATTGGTGATCGTCTGTTTACAAGGAAAGAGAAGAAAGGTATAAGCCTGATAAACTCACAGATGACTGAATCCTTGAACAATAGAATAGAAAATACATTTCCTTGGGAGATTATCTGGGACTGTAATACTCTGGCATTGCCAAAGAAAAAGTTCAGTTAGAACAGGTATTTCTTTCTAGTGTAGAAGGGAGTTCACAACTGACACTGAAATGTCTCTGCAGTTTGGTAACTCCAAGAGGGGAATATTTTAGGAATTTACAAGTTCATTAAAAACCTACATAATCATACCCAGAACTTATACCTAGCTTGAAGTTTGATTTATACACATAGTTATCATCATTCTAACATGGCATGCACTTCCCACCTTCTCTGACCCAAAATACTTTTTTTAAAAATTATTTTTCACTCTCTTATTTTGCATATACATTTCACACATTATTTTGCGTATACCTTTCACAATAATCTTTAGGGCAAACAGCTCAGTGGACTGCTTTGCCCATTGAAGAGAGCTAGAAGTTACTGGACTGGCACAGCTGCCTAGGGATGTCTGGATGACTGCAAGCAGGAGCCACATAGGGTCTGCATATTCCAAGCAGGGGGCTGGAAATATCTTTTAGTGGCACTGCATATGCAATGGTAGGCAGCTGTCTTTGGAATGCTAATTACTTCTGAGTTCTAGAGACGCACATTTTGGGTGAGGGAAATGACTCCACTACAAAATTTGCCAGTGTAACTAACGTTAATGTTAACTGTGACGCTGTAACACGATTGGAGATCATGTTACAAGATCATATTTATAATGTCTCATTTATAATCATGAACTACTGTGGATAAGTGGGATGTCATTATCTTGGATGAGTTAAGCAGAGTTCTAGGTTCAGATCATGCAAGTAGCTCACAATGAGGGTAGCTGTCTGCTCACTTTGGTTCATTTGCAAGACTCAGACTCTGCCTGAATGATCATCTTGGAATGATCTTTGACATATGACTAATTTATTGAAAATCATATAAACTGCACTAAACCACTCCAAGTTTATGCAAGGACAGCAATGCAACAGCAATTAGTAGGCAAGGGGGCTGTTGTCTCAGCTATCAAATATAGCATCTTCAAGGGATTAATAAACTCATTACTCATCCACATGTTTTATGTAGGTTTGGCAGCACTGACTAAAAACTGTAACATCTAATTGTTATTCTTAGTTTACATTTAAAAAGTATCGCTGCAAAAAGTTCAATGGCCAAAAATTGACACTCACTTGCTGGGTGCCCGATCTTGTAAATTGGTTAATGCAGCAAAGTTATTCCGTACAGTACGCAGGCTGGCCAGCACCTGGAACAGACAATATGGTTTCAGTCTAAATTTCTGCACAGGTGAGACTGATCTATCTCTGCCCCACTGTGCTGAAAGAAAAAGGAAAGGACATTGCAAAACAACTGTAAAAGGTTTCCAGGGTTGGTTTGTCTGAAGCCTTTGACCATTATTTAACAATAACATGTCTGTAATACAACAGCAATAGCTTATGTCTTTTTTTTTTCCTCATAAACAACTCATTATTTGTTTAAAGGCAGACTTACTTGAAGAGGAGGAAAGTTTTTCACAGAATACTACTTAGTTCTTTAAAATGACCATAAAAGCATTTGTGTTTGGAAGATAATAGCCCATTCAAGCCTAATACTTCATGCATAAGAAATGATTACAGAATTTTCCATTTGCAGTTCAGCCCCCACAAACCTCAAAGGACAAAGGGAATGAGATTGTCTAGACTGCCAGGAAAAATATAAGTGGCTCCTTTAAGGGGCAAAGTTGATTTGGGTACTCAGTGCAGAAGGCCAGAGTAAGAGGAAGGTATCACCTGAGCAGGTGGGTAATGTCTGCAGGCTCTTACAAACTTTGCACATTGGGAAAGATGACATAAATGAACTACTTCCTTTCTAGACTTAATTTCATGCAAGACAGCAGCTAGTGGAGGCAGTAGAGCAGTGTCTTGTTACAAGTGGCGTAGGCACGCTCTTCTGAAGGCAGTTGGATAAATGCAACAAATTTTGTGCCATGTAAGGATAATAAGATGCACCTCTCGACCAGGGAGAGGCAGCTCAGCTGATGTCAGAGAGGAACCATGAGTTGTTTGGAACCAGACTGGGAACGGGAGGAGGTCGCAACACCAATCACTGGTGTGTCTCTGCAGGAGTTGCCCATTGCTGTTTCTCAGCCCAGACAGGGCTGGTTCCCTGGTGAAGCGGTACTAGGAATACCAAAGGTGGGAATGGGAATGTGGGTTCCAGAGGTCTGAGTCAAGGAGGGTACAACCCTCTTTTCATAGCCCCTTAAATTTATATGTGAGGTAGGAAGGAGGTAGGAGTAGGAGTCTGAAGAGAGAAGAAGGACTTAGTGAAAGCTTTTAACAGACAGAAAATGTGCAGGAGATAATAATGACTGGCAGTGTTCAGGCTACTGTAGGTAATTCCAAAATGAGTTAAGATAGCAAAAGTAAAAATACATTTGTTGCCGAATTAGACAGTATTAATTTCATTATGTTTTCCTTTCCAAAGATCAGGAGGCAAATTCACATATTATAAATTCAACACCGAATAAAAATAATTATATATGCCATCAAATTTACGTGCCCAGGGTACAGTGACACTAACAAATGTTGTATTTAGATGTTGGATATACACAGATGGAAATCAGGCATGAAGTGAGCAGAAGGGGAAAGAAGATCTTGGACTGCAAAAGTTAAAAAATTAATACATAAAAGACAAAGAAAAACTGCTGAAGTATGAAAATATTGTAAGAGGGAAGGATGAGTTGAAGGTAGAAGGAGAAGGAAAGTATAAACAGAAAAAAGTTCGGCCTACTAAGGTAAGACACATATTTTAGTGACTGCAGTCCATTTTCAGTTCTCTTTGGTCAATCTGCCCGGGTTCAGTTTATGTGTGCCAGGATGCTGAGACGGCTTGTATGTGCTAGTATTATCAGAGAAACAGATCTACGGGGCTCCCAGAGCTGTCTCGGGCCATGAAAAAATGTAGTTGGTTTTCCTGGCTGCAAGTTCCTACTCAATAAGCCCTGTTGGACTCAAATTGGCCGTATATTCAGGTGCACTGAGAATTGGGAGCATGTGCAAAGGTAGCTAAGTGACGACTCGGTGAGTGATCTCAGGTACAGCCGTGCTTGGCCATGCTTATTATCTCTGCCTCTGCCGGACTGCAGCGAATGGCCCTGTACCTGCTGCACAGGGCTGAGTTTCAGAAAGGTTAGTAGGCTAGGCATGATGCCATGTGAAAACATGAACCTAGCTGAGGTACGTGTTGGATCTGAAATAACAGGACATTTAGCACCTGGGGTGCTGGGGAAGGAAGTGTGCAGAGCTGCAAGGCTGCTCAGCGCCAGTTACAAGTGGAGGCTCATGAGCCTTGCTGGACCCACGCTCGGGGAGCTGCAAGGGACTCTACTGTGCCCACCACTCTGCACATTGAACAGATTTTTCCGCTGTCTGAGGTATTATGAATCTCTCCTTTCCCAGGAAGCAGACTTGACTGTTTGGTTTGTATGTCCTTCTATTTGTTCTTCTGGCAGGCAAGATAACTGTTTTGTAGGTCCAGGGCTGAAATGTCCAGCACCTGCCCAGCATCCCAGCTGCTTTAGCATACAAACGCTTATTTCGAGTTTCTGCAAGTGCAACGTATCCCCACCTACACAGGAATGACTGTAAAAGTGACAACAAAAACTTTGGCTATTGGCTACACTGGAGCGAAACGACTTGATTTATTGTATAGAGGTATTAATAATTATAAGTATTCTATTTACTACAAGTACCTAAAATAGTATTTAAATTTTTCATTATAATTTGCTTTAAGTGACAGTTTCTCTGCCCACAGAGGTTCCACTTGTGCTTAATGTTTCTCGAGTTAGATTTGCGAGCAAAAAGCAACCAGTCACCTGCAAACCTCTTTAGGTTTATTCCCTAAGTAAATAATACTACTTTCAAGATCAAGTTACATACAAACAGTTGCAAGTGAATTGGAAAAAAACCCCCGTTTTGGTTGATAAAAAAACTACAGAATCGGTCCTTAAATTTCAACTCACTCAAATGATTTCATTTTGAAAAGTGAAATTCTATGAATAATTAAATTACAGCAGTTGCTGTATAGGGAAGTGCAACTACTAATAATCCTTGTCATAGATTTTTTAATTTTAGCTTACAAAATTCCATTCTGGTAAAAATAGTAAATTATCTTGTACTGGGGCCAGATTCTATGTGGGGGACACAACATGCCACCCTGCCTCCAGTTAACAAATGCAGCCACACTGCTATGGTGATGTGCTGAAAAGTAGCTGAAATGCTAAAACTGGATCTATTACCACCAGGTGGCTCATGATCAAATGAAACACGCCTCCTGATCAATTGAAGAAAATACGGATGGTTTGAAATAACCGGACCATGTGTTCCACGTGCCATGATCTGCTGGCACCAGGAAGCCCCACATGGATCAAAATGGTGCTTTGGCTGTTTGTTGACACAAAAATGCGTCTACATGATGCATGTCTGTAGGATGTGTAGACCTTGTACTGCCACATGGGATCCAACTCCCGAAGTCCTGAGTGAGGTCCTAGTATGGCTAACATAACTCGGAGGGGCGGGCCCCGTGCTTAGCTGCAGGTGCAGTCTGTGAGCAGGCCCCACGGGGAGATGGGACTTTGCATATTCAAATAATTTTTAGATAAGGGCTACATTTTTCCTAAGAATCTAATCAGATGTCACTTCCCCTCTGTTAGGTATGCTCTCAACTCCATCTCAATTCCCCCTGTGTCAGGGAGTGTGACGTGATAATTCACCCTGGGAGTGCTCTTTCTCCTGTTCAATGCAAATGAAAACAGGTTGATTTAAAACCACTAACAGGGTTTTGCGCTGAAATACTAAAAGCTCCCAAATAATCAATTACAGAACCTTGGTGCAAGTAACTTTCAACTGCTCCTGCTCCAATTGCTGAAGCATGTCCATCAACACCAACCAGAACACAAAACTGCCCTTAAAGCAAATAGGGTGTTTTGTCCCAGGAAAACCATATCCATAAATGGGGCATAATATTTGCTGGTTTTCTAGGCATACTGTAACCTGTCTTATCTATGTGACATAATTTGTAATAAAAATTCAGATGACAAAGAACAATTGCCTGATCACCATACAATTTGTATTTTTTCTGTGCTCAAGAGTTAGGGTTTTTATAATTCCTGAGAAACTAAAAGCAGAAGTGGTTTTACTTTTTTTTTCCCCTCTTGTTTTTCCTGTAATTTCTTCTCTTCCATTATTGTTGAAGTATATTTACCCTTTGAGACATCTTAAGGTATTCTTAGAAAAGGCCCTGGCTTAATCTCTTCTCTGCTAATAAAAGATGAAGGTATTCTTCATCCTAAGGATTTGATCAGCTAGTGTCTTATAAGCACTGTATCTGTTTAAAATACAATTAAATATATAAAAACCTATTAAATAAATATCAATTGTTTTAACAGCTGATTATTAAACCAAAGCAACATGCATACTCAGACTGAAGTTGGACACCACCTTCTTATTTGAGACTGCTGTGTGGCTCAACCTTTCTCTTTCCATTCACCTTCAATCACATATGAGTTCCAGATACACTTTTTCCCTTTGTAGTTACACTGAATTAACTTTCATTCCTATCAGGGTAAAACCAGTCATCACGAGTTCAAGGAATATGAATGCTAACTTTTCATACATGACAAGACAGCTCTACTGCTAAAAATTGTAATGTTTTGATCTAAATTACATAGAATTTTGAGCTGATACTTTATAAAAGAAAATCTGAATAGAAACATCAAACAAATAGAGATGGTTTTGCAAATGAACGTAAGTATTCTGTGTAAAACTTATCTTGCATCTAAAAATTACCTTGTATTGAATATATAAAAGAGCTTCAAAAGGAGAAACTGTAATTATAAAAAGCAGGACAATAATAGCATAGATTTGTCTTCATCATGACTGTCTGCTACAGGATTTGAAAAGAGATCAGTCGAGTGTGTTTATCGTGTTGTTGCATTTCAACTTTTCAGATAAACAAAAAGTATCAAAAAAGAGAGGTAGAGATAACAGTGGGAGGTTTATGACTTTCTGTTGAGACAGTTTTTTCCTGTTTCAAGCAAACATACCTTATATAATACTAACAACAGAAAACAACTGGTTTGGTCATTTGGCCTTTACATTGCAAGATCGTGTGAGAAATACGGCAAAATTGTGCCTACCTGAGCAAATGGCGTCACGATCAAATCATCTCCATGTCTGAAAAAATGAGCAGAATTTTAAGTTAGGTATTACTGAAAAATTATCTCACTGCTTTAACAGAAAGAAAATCAGGTTTTATAATGCACTGTAGTTATAGTCTCCAGTAGTTACTCACTACTGCTGCTTTACATATCCTTTGAAAAGTAAATATCAACTTAGTTATTGCCCAACTGCCTGGCATATCTATGGGATGGCTGATGAACCAGCTTGTTTCTACGCTGCGTGTTGGGCAGGTGACCGAGTGCCCAGGACCAATCTGCAGAGATTTCATCCCAAAGGATGGAGGTGCAAATACCAAAAGCCAACCCCACTGAGGGTTACCAGCAGGTTTGTGAACGCCGGACGGGCAAGTAACTGCAGATGGCTGGGCAGCGCATCACAGACAAATAAAAACCGAGCGAAACTTTCAAACTGACTCACACCTCTGTAGCTATTAGGGGGTGTGCCCGAGTGTGTGCTGTTGCTGTGGCAACCTCACCCACACCACGGGGTGACGGGTGACGTATGGGCAAGGTGCCAGGATGACGCACTGTAGGGGAGAAGGGGGGAAGGGAAAGAGGGGTTCCTTCGCTTCAGCACCGAAAGCTGCCACTTGAAATGGCTTCCAAAAAATACGCTGTTGTAGGCTGAAGGGTTGCTGATCTTAAAGGTAGCATCTGTAGCACTGAGGGTGTGGAGTCAGACCTCTCCAGGAGACCATGGGGACAGGGAAAACTTGGAGTTTTCAGTTATCGTATCTATATGGCAGCAATCAAGATGAAAATAAATTTTCCAAAGACAAAAATCCAATATGACTCCACTTTTAATTCTCCTGTATTTTCCCGTAATTAATTTATAGTCATGAGTTACAAATTGCAGCTTCAGCAGAAATTACCATTGCTTTGGTGGTATTTTAATGTTATTTAAGTTTAAGCGTAAAATATGAGTATTTAACTATGGGTTTCAAGTCCGTGAAGATCTAACCAGAAAAAGGCTTTCTGATAAATGGGGAAATATGATTTTCATTCATCATTCTTATAATTTATATACTGTCCACAAGACAGTAATGTTTTTGCAGGTATTGAAAGAACCTAATAAAAAAGCAGTAAGTACAACCAGAGAGCCTGTAAGGATGAAACAAAACTCCCTGATATTCATAATTATCATAATGCTTAATATCTGTGTAGCTGTTTTTATTACCATCTCTTTTATTCCCATTAGTTGAAATAGAGAAATGGATTTTTACAGACCCTGTGGAAGAAGTCTGCACTTTTAACAAGTTCTTTGCAGGAGCGACTGGAATAAGGTGCTGCTTCAGGTGAAACCACAGTCCCAGCCTGGCTTGAAAGCATGTAAGCCTGACCCTCACACCAAACCAGAAGAAACACGGCGCCATGGCAGGAACCCAGAGGCTTTAATTGTGCAATGAAGCCAAATCCAATCGGTTATTATAGACATCACGAATCAGCCCAGGGCATTAACAGGGGAGTTAATGACCAGCTGGGTTTAGTACCTCTTCGTGTTTTCATTGGGTCATGAAAACATCACAAAATGCCCTAGACTATAATTTCTGATCAGGATTGCTTAATGAGTTACACAGCTACACAAAGGCTTCAGCAGAAGATAAGCCACATCCATCTTTTCCTTTGCTCTCCTGTTCTCCACTTAAACAGCCGTAGTGTGAATAGGTACACTACCTCACTTCCAGAAAAATTATGCTCTTTTTCTTCAAGTTCAGTCAAATAGTATTATCTGCTGTGTGACAGCTGGCTTACCTGTTCCTCAGTATCTGTTCATTTCTTCCCTTTTATAAAGAATATTTTTACTATTTGTGCATAGCTACTCCATTTTCTCTTGTGTTTTGACACCTAGAAGAGGCACAGCTGTGTAGAGCAAGGAATCCTGCATTAGTCATCTGAATGACTTCTGCAAAGATGGAAGAGCCTAAAGCCTCAAGTAAATTATTTGCCAGTCTTCCTCACACCTACCCACTTTATCTGTTACTCAGGTTGTTTAAGCAAAAAGCAAACAAAGCGTTGAGCAAATTCTAAGAAATGAGTGGGTTTTCTGAGTGATCAAATTCTGCACAGAAACTGTATCTAAAATCAATAGACAAACCCATTTTTTACTGATCTAGTCCAATTCCCACATTTGGAAATGATGAAGGGGTGGAATCTGGAGGTGAAAAGTTTTATAGCTAGAAGCAGCACTGGAAAAAGAAGAAAAATATTAATTTTTTTCTACCTGTAAATAAGCCAGATAGAGTAGAGCTAGTTCTTTCTAGCATCACAAGCATCTGTCAGTGGCAAACACTCTGAATGCCCAACATATGACACAAATGCGTAAGATACTCATCAGTGCTTCAAATTCCCAGGCAACTGCTACAACATAGTTATTAACTGTCAAAGTGGACATTGGCAAAACTATAAAAATAGGATGGTCCTTCTTCTCACCATCTCCTGTGGGCTTCCTTACTGGAGGTGGCACTTTCTTGCCCTTCTTCCCATTCAGTGACCCTGTTTGCTGAATGCTGAGGCACTTCTAAGAGGCAACAAGTACATGTTCGTGGCTTTCTGCCCCTGAGGTTTTTTTCTTTTCTATAAAATAGCATGACCCCACTCTTCTAATTTTCAAACTTCATCTTACTTGAGCCCTTGCTGGACTGTATTTCATTGGAGAATGCTGATAAAATACCATAGCTTGTTATTTTTTAGAGGAAATATTATTAAATATTAATTTAATGCACTGAAATCAACCCAGGATTTAATTTTCACTTTTCAAATGCCCCCTGTGTCAAGAGCAACAATTCCAGAAATTATCATTATTTTGGTGAAAGTCTGGTGAAAGAAAGATATCTGCAGCTTTCACAAAGCAGTTTAGCACACACCAGACCCACCTGAGCAGAAAAGCAATTGCATAGTGTGGTGAGTGATCTTTAATCCACATTGGGTCAGGAAATCTGGAAAAGGTGAGAGTGCTCAAAAAGGGAGCAGACCAAAGCAGCTGTCTTATTTTTTGTATGAAGAGCAAGAACATATGATTCAATCAAAGTACTATTGATCCACAGTGTACTGCGGTGTGGTAAACACTACAATGTATAAGTGTCCTGCTGTTTTCTTTTCAGATGATAGGGAAGCTGATAGATGATTCTGTCTGGAATCTGGATAGGATAGTGCCACGCACCTATATACAGAAGCAGCAAGAGGGAGTGTAAACCCTGTGCAATATATCACAAGCTTCTAGATATAGACAGAACTATTAACCTTTAAGGTTAGAAGAAATTGTTTGCATCAGTGTTAGATTCTGTTAACTAGAATGCCTGGCATACTTGTTCACATCTTCATTTTTCAAAGGAAAGACAGATTTGAAAGCTGAATAATTTCCACATAGCCCCAAAATTTAAAATGATCAAATCCACCACCACCAAAAAAGACTGCTAAAGCACACAACAGTCCACATGAGATGAATCGCTGTTACATAAAACACAGGTCAAATTTCCATTAACAAACCAAAGATTATATAATGCATTGCAAGTTATTTACCACATTAAAGTGATGAAGCCTGGCCTTCTGCAAATTTTCTGGGTTTTGCTTCCTAACCTTTCCTATGGGATATATTTGAACTCGCCCCATATAACCTATGATGGTACCCACCCTGGAGAAGAGATAGAAGTGCTATGCTAGATCAGAAAGAAGTTAGATGAACATGTTCAGCTGACTGTTGCCAAATAAAAAGTATAAAAATTTTGCTTCCTTTCCTCAAGATTGGCATTAATTTGTCTCTCCTATCCCAATTACAGGACAGTAATTAACTTTGCCCCCACTAAAAGGAACTTTAGAGATGCATGCATGGACAGACAGAGAAGCAGGCAGGAAGATTAACACAAGGATAGACAGGGTGACTGCATAACCTTTATTTCTTAATTAAGTTGGGATAATTTAATATAATCATCTAATAAGAGGAGTAGCTAGAGAGACAATCTGCAGACCTTCTATGATATAGTTAAGAAAGAGAGGGTGCTTTTTTAATGTGGTCAGAAAAAAGTCAAGATAGCCATTAAGGAGCAGTGAGCCCCAGACCTTAGAGACCTCTAGAAATGTCAGTCTGCACTTGCCAGTGTGGAGCTTCACAGGGAAGGTCCTGAATAAGGTTTGTCTTCGTAAAGGCCATAGTAAACTCAGATTAAGACTTTCTAGACACACATGAAGAATGCCAAGTGAGTGATGTTGAGGACATGCATTGCAGATGGGAGACATAAACAGGATAAATAAGAGCTCTGTCTAAACAGAGTGGGGAAAATGTATGAAACATATTTATACCAATTTGACACATACCTTTTCATGGACAAGATATGGTCAAGATAAAATTCCTGGTTAATCTTTATACAATTTTTACAGCATAAATTAGAAGACTAGTGGAAAGAATCTCAATGCTTTGTATCAGTTTAAAGCATGATCATACTGGTTGGCTACACTCCTCCACCTGAGTGAAAAACCTATTTATCTCCCCAGGATAAGTACTGGCTAAGGACGCCAGCCAGGCTTTAAATCAGCTGGCATAGTCTGTGTTGGATTCTCTGGCTACAAACTTGGGACATAGCCTATTTTAAAGAATAAAGCTGCCAACAGACTTTGAAAAGCCCTAGGGGACAGTGGCTGTCTGGAATCCCTGCACTGTGCTCCACAGCAAGAACTACGGCTTTTATCACATTGTCACAAGAATTGAATCAATTTTTACAGAGTTGTTTTTGGGCATTTTTTATTACTTTTTTTTTAATATAGAAACATAGCAAACATAAAAGCAATGGAAAATCCATACTGTCTACACAGAACATACAAAATAGGAAAGAAGATGAACATGAAAGTAGTCTTCTATTTGAACCAGAAAATCTATTGAGGCCTCCTTTTTCAGTGTAAATGTCTGAATTTGGATTCAACATGTCATCCACTCATTTCGGTAATACAAGGCTAATTCAGACTTACTTACTGTCCAATAACATGCTATAAATGCAGCTTTGA